CAGGAAGCAATGTGATCTCCATCCTAGAGCTACTTTAGATTCCTGGCTTTGCTTCTGTGTCAAGGGGCCCAGCAGGCCTGGGTCCACTGAGCCTACTCAGCATGTTTTGTATTATGTTATGGCAAAGCCAGCAATTGACAGACCTCTAGAGGGAACTGAGCTGACTTCTTCCACCTAGCTGTGACACCAGACAAAATAGTAAAACTTTCTGGATCTCCAGGTCTTCATCTTTAAAACAGATTACATGAAATCAGTGATTTATGATATAGGTCTTTTGGGGAGAAAGCCATAGGGATTGATGGGGAATAGGAGGTAATCTAGCATTATTCTGGGCCCACTACCATCCATGCTTAAACAACAAAGCAGTTAGTATTTGTGTGCATGGGACCTTGCACTTGTTCTATGTCTCCATCTTTCTTGGCTCTGATTCTAGATGAGGTTGTGTTTGAACAAAAGTTTTGGGAAAAAAAGAGTTGGGAAAACACTGGACCAAATAGTTCTTAAGGTTCCTTGTGAAAGCAGTTTTAAACAAAGACCCTCACTATATTTTTTAAAAATATTTTTTAGTTGTAGATGGATAAAATGCCTTTAATTAATTAATTAATTAATTTTTACAGGGTGCTGAGGATTGAACCCAGTGTCTCACATGTGCTAGGCAGGCTCTCAACCACTGAGCTGTAACCCCAGCCCCAAAAGACCCCCACTATCTTTAATTTGAGTAAAATATAATCTTTAAGATTGAGGCGAAACCGTTTTGAATGAGAAATTTAAAAAATAATCTCAAAGAGCAAAATCATGGCAAGATATCAGGCAGGCTGCATGGTATTTATGTGTTTCAGTAGAAAATTAAAATAAAAGTTCCTCTTGCTTCTGTTAAAAGCATTCTTTTTCTTCTGGGGTAAGTATGAGATAACATTAGTCCCAGTTGGAGGTCACTAGAATATTCTTTTTCAATAGAAAAGTACTACTCCTTGAAGAAACCAGAAAGTTTACTTTCCATCTGTTCTCTTTCTCTTGAAAGTTTATCATGCCGCTGACAAAACACATCTGCTCTTTCCTGTTTCTTTCCTGTTGTGACAGTCGATCAAAAAGGTAACTAGATGCTAGAGAAAGGGAAGGAGTTTTGATGCAAAATTTGCTTTATTTGAGTTCCTTTTACTCCTATTTTGGGGTTCTTATTTTAAATCAGTGTTCAAAATGAATTATTAAGCTGTTTGTAGACATTTTGGCACAGTTTCTTTATGGAAGTCCTAGACATAAAGGTGGTAACTTGGAGACCATCATTCTAGAGTGGTTTTGCCCAGGAGAACATTCTGTGATATGGAAATACTCTCTGTGTTAAGTAACAGGGTAGCCAGTAGCCACTTGTGACTGTTGAGCACTTGAATCTACCCAGTATGACTGCTGAACTAAATTTTTTGTTAATTAAATTAAGTCATCAGATGTGGGTAGTGGCTCTTCTATTGTAAAGGTTAGCTCTAGAGAATCAATGAAAATTTTGATCAACAATCGGTGAAATTAGTAAAAAGTCCTATGCTTAGGAAATAAAAGACATCCCCCACTTTTAAAATACTATTGACAATTTATGGTTTGAAATAGATTTAATTTTTTTTTTAAATTTTGATTGAATATTTCTTCAGTGCCTGGCACATAAAACAGTTAACAAATGACTATGCTTTTAGTAGTATCCTCCACCTCCATGCCAGGTCAGCTTAATTTCAATTAGGAGGTGTCTCTTACTACCTATGGAACAGTCTGTCTTTGACTTCCTGTGTTTTCACACTCAGCATCTTCTCAGCAAGGTCTGTGGATTCCAGTTTCCAGTTTTACTCCACCCTGGCCCAAGCCCAGGCTACTCCTGAACACCCACAACAAGGCCCACCCTTTCCTAGAGCCCTTAGACTGTCGCTAACTGGACCATTCTATAGACTGACGATTTGATCTTGTTCAGGGCCCAATGTTCAGTTTTGGCTCCTAAAATGAGCATCACCGAACTGGAGTATAACTAACATAAAAGATTGGATTCATGTCACATCAGAGTTGAAGGGACCATTACATTAGTCCTCCTTTATCCTTGGGAGATATGCTCCAAGACTCCCAGTGGATGCCTAAAATCATGGGTAGTACTGAACTCAAAATATAATGTGGGGGCTGGGGATGTGGCTCAAGTGGTAACACGCTTGCCTGGCATGCGCAGGGCACTGGGTTCGATCCTCAGCACCACATAAAAATAAAATAAAGACGTTGTGGCCACCAAAAACTAAAAAATAAATATTAAAAAATTCCCTCTCTCTTTCTAAAAAATATAATGTATTTTTTTCATATATACACACCTGTGATAAAGTTAAAAGTTAAGAACAGATAAAGATTAATAACAATAATAACAAAATAGAACAATTATAATGATATGCTGTAATAAAATTGTCAGCATCACTATTTTTGTGCTTTGGGGCTGCAGTGAAGTAAAATAAAGGTTACTGAACACAAGCATGGCAATATTTTAACAGTCTATCTGATAATCAAGGTGTCAATGGCAGGTAGCATGTCAAACATGGATATACCAGACAAAGGACTGTCAAGGGCAGGATGGAATGGGACTGCACAAGATTTCATGTTGTTACTCAGAATAATACATAATTTAAAACACTGTTTTTGGAGAATTCCATTTAATATTTTTGGACCCCAGCTGACTGGAGGTAACTGAAACTGCAGAAAGTAAAACAGCAGATAAGGAGGGGCTACTGTATATAGAAACTATTCAATAAGCATACAGCTATTTATATTCTGGTATGCACCAGGCAAAGTGCTTTTGATCCTCATTTAATCTTTTCAGCAATCTCATGCCCTATTTATTTGTGTATTTTAGAGTTATGCTCAGGCTCAGAGAGGCTAAGTGACTTAACCCAAGTCACCCAGGTAAGAAGTAGAGACCTGTGATTCATATCTACATTCTGGCTCTTGAGCTTGTGCATTTAGTTATAACATAATGCATTATAAAATAGAGTTTTAAAAGTCAGTACAGAGTGCAAGACTAAAAGGAATTGAGTTTATTGATTATAAAGAACAGTTTTCTAATAACTCAAGGTCTTCACCATAAAATTGCTCACTCTGGGTAGTACCCTCATTAGCTACTTGAATGCCTGTGTTTTTAATGCTCACATATCAGTAACTTGGTAGAAAGAGTTCTTAAATACATATTCAGGAGCTCATGAATAGCACATGCGTGCTAGGGACCTTTTCAATTCTAATTTCTTCTGATTATAATTTGTCTCTCAAGGACATTTATTATCAATTTATTCCATATGATGAGCTTTCATTTTCCATGAAATTCATAAAGATGATTCTTTTTTTCTATGTAAAACCAGAATGGAATTTATTACCTAAACTGGCAGAAGGAGGGTACTCTCTCTCACTGTAGGTGAACTTGTAGAGGAATCCAATTCATATTTCACTGAGGAATAAAAAATGACCTGGGATCATGGAAACCCTAAGGTGATTGCCAAAAGTATTTTAAACAGATCTATTTAATTTTGTTAAGATAATAATGACAGGCAGGAGAGGAAGAAGGAAATGACACTGGATTCCAAGTTGCAGGATGTGTCCTTCTATAACTGAGAGTGCTGCTATTATTTCAATATTCATCTTGGTATTACGAAGTGCTCTTGGTGAGTTCTGATATGCTTGCTTTATATGTGCCTTCATTTTCTATGGATTCACTAACATTTTTATTTCTTAAAAATGCATTTTATGTTTTAAGAGAAAATACACTGAATATGCTAAAATCTAATTTTGATAGTTGTATTTTCGAAAATGTGTTGACTTTCTCTTATTAGAAATAAGCACTATTGGAAATGCTGTTAAGGATAACTTTATGGGAAACAAGGGGGTTAGATAGTTTTTTTCTCCCCTATGAACATTCTAGATTCAGTTTGGGAAGAAAAATAAGTCAATATATGTTCTCTTTTCCCCCCCCTCTATTTGTTCATCTTATCTTTCTTCTCAGCTGCTCCCCATTGTGCCAACCCTCCTGGTTCTCTTCCTAAATCACACAGTTTGTACCAGTAATTGGAAGAGAGTGCATGTAATCCAAGGAATCCTAACTTGTACAGATACTTTCATGGAGATAGTTATAAATTATGATTATGCAGAAAGCTTTTTCTTGAAAATTTTATCACATATGAAGAACTTTAGAGAGAATATATCACAATAAGAGATGATGTGGCTCATCGGAGCTGTAAACAGATTTAGAAGGAACTGAAAGAATTTAGTATAGGAACAGGGAGGAACCCGTGTTTTCAGCAAAGGAGGGAGATTGAGAAAACTGAATGAGTTAAGATGTCTAGCCTGGGAATCTAAAAGGAAGGCTCCACTTGAAGTGCAGGTGTTAAAGAAGGTTAGGAGATTTCTAGGTAAGGTAACGAATATCAGCAAGGAAAGAGGCAGAGAAGTGACAGGTGTGTCTAGGGAATGCTGATCAACTTAGTTTACAACAGAGTTCAAGAAAGGGAGAAATCAAAGGAAGAAAAGTAAGTTCCAGGCTACATTGCAAAGACCCTCAAGTATCAGATTTAATACTTAAATACTAGCCTGTGCAGGGATGGTGGTTTAGCCCCCTTTCTTTTAGGAGGTTGGTATTTTTTATCAGCTGTGCCACATATGTATGTACTGTTCCCTCCTACAAGGGAAGGCTCTCCATTGTATGTTTTGATTTATAATGCAATGCTGAACAAATTCTAGGTTTATTTAATATACTGGTTGTTGACTATATATAAATCTCTGGCACTATCAAGCCCCCTTTATACTTTATGTGCTGATAATTGTTTATGGTGTTAATATCATATAATAAATATCATAACAGTTTGTTTCATGCATTATATGTATGTTGTATATATATTTGTGTATATATGTATAGTTTTTTGAATTTTTTAAAAACTATATTTGTTTAAGGCAGATAAAAAATCTTTCTAGATATTTAATTTGAACAGACACTTATCATGGGGCCAAAAAAAGAACTTATTTTTTCAAATACTAAACCTACCATGGAATCTTGGATCTGCAATACGCTCAGCACTCATCTTTTCCTTCCTTCCCCTTTATTTCACAGATGAGACAACACCACTTATCTCAAACTCACAATCAGTTACTGGCAATGCCAAGGCTAAAATTCAGTTTTCTGGTATCTTTCTACCATACAAACACTTCTTATCTGAAATAAGTGACCAATAAAACCAAAACATTTAAAGGCTAACATATATTTGCAATTTAAAAAGTTAATTTCATAGATCACATCAAAATGGATGAGTCAGTTCTATAATTCATATATAGTAGTAATATTTTTTGTTAATATTATATTAGCAGGCATGCAAAGTTTCTAACAAATCATTTTCTCTACAAGTAGTACCTCTAAATTTATCTTAACAAAGGTTAACCTGTGGCAGTTTGGAGAACAAACAGAAGGACATTCTCTTCACCATGAGAATGTTTCCTCTTCCTCTTTCCTGGCTACTTATCTTAGTTTATAATAGAACCTCTACCACTTGATCACAAGGACCATCCTGGAGAGTCAAGGCCCTAGTTCCTGGAAGCTCATAGTGCAGAGAACTATTAAGAACAATGTATCCTATATGGGCTTATTTCCCAAGCTATTAATGACGACAATAAACATCTTTGGAGTTACCGTCACACATTCAGTGTTCTGCTTCTCATTCTAGAAGCTTCTCTAGACAAGAGGCTGGTCTGATTTATCTGCATCATCCCAGCAGGCAGTTGCAGCCACACCACTGAGTAGGTGGTACTGCTCAAAATTAGTAGAAGGAATGTTTGGACACTTCAGACTTCCAAGGGGCAGAAAAATAGCCCGCCTGAAAAACAATTTGTTCTGGATTCACTCTGAAGGCAAGGCAGTTTTTCACTCCTCTACTGAGCTCCGGGTTTCTTTCCCACTCAAGGCCACGGAAAACAATCAGTGAAGACTGAGCGTCAGTCAGGCTCCGGAATGGCTGCTATTCGCTTGGAAGCCTTATAGTTTTCCGTACTTTGTTTCCCCCTCCTGACCTCTGCCAAGTCCCCAGGCCCCGCTCTGCCCAGTAAAGTTCTGAGCCCAGCGACAGCGTCGGGGGAACCGAAAAACCGCGGAACCAGAGGCAGAAGGAGCGGTGGGGGCGGCGGGAGCAGGAGTGGAAGGACCGGCAGGCCTAGCTCCCACGCGGCGGCGGCGGCTGGGGGAATGGAGCCCTTGCGGGTCCTTGAGCTGTACAGTGGCATTGGTGGCATGCACCACGCACTGAGAGGTGAGAAAGGCCGAATGCTTTCTGGAATGAATCTAGGACGCTTGTTGGTGCCTCGGCGCCGAGGCGGGACAGAGCGGCGAGGCGCTAGGGGCGGAGACGGAGTTGAGGCGGCGCTTGGTTGCCCAGGAAACCGGCGGCTGCGACGCCCCCGCCCGCCCCTCCAGGCGGAGACTCCCTTTTCCAGGGCCCCACGTTGGTCGCTAGGGCAGGCCCTGAGCCCCCAGGGACCCAAGTTTGTGAGGTCGCTTTCTCTAGGCTGTAAAGTCGAATTAAAATGGAGCCGACCAAGGTCGGGGGAGGGGCGAGCCCTTTCCCTGGTGCCTGCCCCACTTCTACACGTGCTGTCGCCTTGCATGGTCTTTTATCTTGGGGGAAGTCCAAGTGGGAGGGGCGGGGTCGAGCAGGATGCTAGCTAGGATTCAAGGTAAAAGTTGGCGCATACTAACTAGGACTGTGGGGAAACCCAGAGGGGAAACCTGGTGAGTCTGTGGAATCTTCTCCAGCCCTACATTTAGATGCCAGAGATCTGAGTTCAAAGTAGAGTTCAAATTTTGTTGCACTGGGTTCCTTTCTTAAATGTTTTGGAACCCGTTTCCTGGTTTTTAAAAGTGTGAAACTGTTCTTTCAGAGAGGAATTGTGAGGATTAAAGATAAAATGTGTCAAGTGCTTATTAGCGTAGGGTACCTTGTAGCCTCTCAAACTATTGTCATTCTACTTACCTCTTTCCTTTTGAGTCCTTTAATTTCTTTGGTGCTAGATTTACTTTTGATAATATTCACTTAAAATTGATTGAGTGCCTATTTTGTGGTAAGTACTGTAGGGTGGACACTGGGATATGGAGTGACAAACTTCGAACCTGCACATTTGTTTATTTTTTGCGGTGCTGGGAATTGAACCCAAGGCCTCTTGCAATGCATGTTTATTCTTACCTTACTAAGGCAACCACAAAACTGAAGCTTCCCTGTTTCCCTTTGCAGTATCAAGGGTAATGAGACGCTTTAACTGACAGTGTTTAATGGATGGAGTATATAGATTTTCTGAGCAGATATTGAGTTTTAGTACTTTATTTTTATTTATTTATTTTTATGTGATGCTGAAGATGAAACCCAGTGCCTCACACATGTAGGCAAGTGCTCTACTACTGAAACACAACCTCAGCCCAGATATGAGTTTTGAGTCTAGACTCACCTCAGAGTTTCTCACTCCATCTTCTTTTCATCTGCCATATCTGAATTAATCCGGGGCCTTTTCAGAGAGGCCTACTCTGTGACCCTGTGATTCAAAGTAGTCTTCCTGCCCTCCCTACTTCTTTGCTCTCCAGGACTTTGGTTTGAGATTTACATATGAAGGATATCTACTCAATCCTATTGATGCAAATGTTTTCCTAGCATTTGTTTGTCTTCCAATGTGCACTTATTTAATGTACCAAAGTTTTAAATTTATCTGTAATAAAATACATTGCTCCCTTCCAAGTGATTTATAAATAATAATGAAAACTATAGCAATGGCAGCTAACTTTAACTTTTATTAATGATTTCTAAATGTCACAACCTGGTCTAAGTATGTAATAATGCTAGTTAGTGGTAAAACCAGTATTCTAACCTATGTCTCTCAGACCTTTATAACATGCTGTGTTGCCATTGTTCTGGTTTGATCCACTATCCTTGTTCTATACTTTGAATAATAGTAAAAAGCAGCAAAATGGGAATAATATTGAGCAACAGTTTGGGCTGATTTGTAGGTAATGTTTTTAATGGATTTTTTTTATTGTGGTAAAGTATATATAGTGCAAAATATATTATTATAAATATTTTTAAAATCTTCAATTAAATTGTATTAACTGACTCAAATGTTGTGCAACCATTACCAATTATCAGTTTCCAAAACTTTTTCATGGTCCCAAACAGAAGCTGAAAGATATTCCATTGTAGGTATATACAATTTTGTTTATCCATTCAATCAGATTGATGGAAAGTTGAGTTGTTTCAACCCGTTAACTGTGTGAATAATGCTGCTTGGAATATTGGTGTATAAGTATCCTTTTGAATCCTTTGACTCTCAGTTCTTTTGGGTTATAACCTAAGAATGGAATTGCTAAATCATATCTTCTTTTTAGTTCTTTGAGGAACCACCAGATTTTTCCACAGCAGCTGCATAATTTTACATTTCCAACAACAATTCATGAGGGTTCCATTTTATCCTGACATCTATTTGTTTTACATTCTTTTAAATACTATCCATAATAATGCATATGCATTGATATTTCATTATGATTTTGATTTGTATTTTCTTAATAACTAAAAATGTTAGGATTCTTTCATGTGCTTATTGGAAATTTGCATATCCTCCTTTGGGAAATATATACTAAAGTCTTTGGCCCATGTTGTATTTTTTTTTTAGTTGTATGTAGAAGTTCTTTATATATTTTAGATATTAATCCCTTGTCAAATATATAATTCACATTTTCTTATATTACTGAATCTTAATAGAGTATGTTTAATTTCTTTAACAACACTGATTTTCTTCTAACCCAGTGAACATTTTAATAACAGTAAAAATTTCATCCTTATTAGTGTATGCAAAATGCTGTTATATTGTTGTAGTCACTATATAGTGCTTTGTATTTTCTAAATTTCATTTTACTTTATTATATATCTGCATGCCCATGTATTTACATGTCCACATGTGCTATTCCTCTCTGTTCTTGTGTAGCCTGTTACACAGTACTGTACTGTGACAGGTTCTCCTTATATGACTATCAAGTTTATTATTGAATAGATAATCATTCTGACATTATTTTGATAAAACTATAGTCATCATCATTATTTTATATCATACACAGTTCTTAGTAGCAAACCATAGAAGTCACTGTCTGTTTAACATAAGCAGAAACATAATTAAAGGACACTGGGAAGCTCACAGAATTAACAGGACACACACGTTACAAACAGGTTAGATCATCAGGAGCACTGCTCAAACCACACTCTGGGGATTGCCCTAGTAAAGCTCTATACTTACATCGCACTTTGCATCAGCAATTCTGGAGACTGGATGCCATAAATGCCAATGAACTTGTGTCCTTAAAAGTGGATATTTCTACCATCTTCTTCACCAAAAAGATGGATTTTCTCATTTACTTCCTCACATTGCTACTTTCAAAGGGAGGTCTTACAGGATTGCAAGTGGTTTGTGGGTACTAGATCCCTCTGCCACACAAAGCTGGGAATGTGAATTCTGTCTTCTGTTTTGAGAAGCAAGGACCCATATGGGGAAAAATTTTCAAACATAGGCATAGATTCTAGAGTGCAACAAGCATAACTCATCTACTACATTCTTATATACATAATACTCATTTATAGGGATACTTAGTATGCTCTTAGATCTTTCCTTCCTCCCTCCCTCCCTCCTCCCTTCCTTCCTTCTATAGAAGAATGAACCCAGGGGTGCTTAACCACTGAGCCACATCCCCAGTCCTTTTAAATATTTTATGTAGAGACAGTGTCTCACTTAAGTTGCTCAGGGCTTCACTAAGTTGCTGAGGCCGACTTTGAACTTGCTATTCTCCTGCCTCAGCCTCCCAAGCTGCTGGGATTACAGGCATTAGCCACCATGCCTGGCCACTCTTAGATATTATACCCGTATAATCTATGAAATTTTGGTTAGTGAGCTGGGTGTGGTGGTGCATTCCTGTAATGCAGAGACTCAGGAGGCTGAGGCAGGATGATCAAAAGTTTAATGCTAGCCTTGACAACTTAATGAAATCCTGTCTCAAAATATAAAACAAAAGGAGCTGGAGATGTAGCTCAGTGATAAAGCAACCCTGGGTTCAATCCTCAGTATGGGGAAAAAAAAGTGAAAAAATCTTGATTAATGAGAATCATTTGTTTGAAAATATCTCTTTATAGAACAGTGTAAGAAATAGTATCATGGAATATATATCAGTGGAGAATGCAAGGATACCTATAAATATATGCAAATAAGATTCTATAGTTTTCTCATTTTAAAATTAGTGGCAGGAGAAGAGTAAGATACAGTTTAAGGTGGCTAATAAAGGCAAGCTCTAGCTGGACAGTTATATAGTCAAACACTGGAAACACTCTTAAAACACAAAGAAGTTCAGCTCCCTCAAATAATTTCTGAAGATTTTCCATGGTATTGGTTTTGAGTTTTAGTCATGTAATATCATCTTTAGCAAGAATTGCTCAGCCTTTATATGGTATGATAAAGTGCTAAGCCTCTCACTTGCCATTCATTAGTTGCTAAACTTCCAAATCTCTTTTTTCTTTGTTTCTTAATGCCTTATATACTGGAGATTCCCATCACCCACTCTGTGATTAGGTATATTTATAAGTGATTCAGGCAAGTGCATTGTCGTGAAGTGTTTTTCTGTGTAGATCTGTGTGTCACCTAATGATATTATTGAAACATAGTTTGTTAAGGAGTTTGAATTGCTTGATTTTAAATTATATTTGCCTTTGGGATTGTAAATTTTTTCTTTTTATGTCTATTTTCCCATTGTTGCTGTTATATTGCTTGTCAGATTTAAAGCGAAGCAAAATATAACTGGTCCATTTAAAAATATTTATCATTTGTAGTTCATAAATATAGTTACTCCCTCAGTGCTGACAAATAGATAACAACATTTAATTTATTTTAGGGCCTATCTAGTGTTAAGTTTTTTAGGGGTCTCAATAATTAGTGCCCCTCTTCTTGGTTATGAATAAGTTGAGAAATAAGACTAAGGCAAATAGGAAATTAAACTCATGTCATTTTTATTACTAATAAATGTTGAATTAGAAGATGTAGCTTAGTAACCAAATGGGTCATCTAATATCGAACTAATAGTTAAGCAGCAGTAGGCACAACTGAAAGGTCCAATCAGATCCCATGTTTCCTGTGGATATCTTATTCCCAAGAGGGAATGGGAGAAGAACTCTACCTCCACATTTTACTTTATCTTTGCCAAATGCTTCTAGGAATCCTTCAGGTGTTAGGGATT